GCGTACGCTCTCAGCGTTGGGAAGTTTCGTCGTAGATAATGACATCGAGCAGGGTGTGCAGCTGACCGGGTCTTTATGAGCAGTGCACATTGTTTTATGCAGTCGTCTTTATTGCCGTTTAGCCATTTATCTATCTTATTGACAAATGTTTTCTTTTCTCTCTACTCTGCCACCTAAAGAGTCTTTGGCTGCTCCTGACCTCAGCAGACCACGAGGTGACTTATGCATGCCGGTTGCTCGTTGATATTCACTAAAAAGATCAACCCCACCACATGGATAGAGTGGACCTTATTTCTGACTTGCTTCACATGTTTGCTCAGTGTGTGTGCAGCAGTAACTAAATACTGAGTAGTTAGTGCATTCTAAGCACCTTGTGCCTAACCCCTCTCTCCCTCACCGCCAAAGGATTGAAAAAGAATGAAGTTAAAAAAAAAAAAAAAAGATCCTGAATTTGGAGGACTTTTTTTTTAAATAATGATGCTTTTATGTAGCTTAAAGTGTATGAAAAGTAACAAGTTTGACTGGTTTCATATTTTTTAATGCTTGTTTGGTTGTATTTTGCTTGACTTGAAGGCATGCTTTTGTATTAAGATAATCTGTTAATCAGTTTAAAGTTAGTAAAAACAGTACAGTGTTTAATATTAAATGCATTGCATCTTTACAAAGGATATTTAGTTTTAAATTTTAGCACATCAGACATTTTTAGTAAGTTTTTAAAGCCAATAAGTAAACTACCCCCCACCCCCACCATTTTTTTACATGCAGATCCATTTGTATTGGGCATGTTACTAAATAGCAACTTGTCCTTTCTGAAGGATTAAAACTTATTTACTGATTCTAGGAAAGCAGAACTAATAACTGTAGCGTGAAATTACAGAAAGACAGTTGAAAGGATGGTTATAACTGTGGGAAAGTGGCTGCGTCATTTAGATGTGGACACCTTGCCTGTAAGAATTGATTTTGTTCCCATGCATGCTAGGTGCACATGTAAAACTGCAAGTTCCTATTTTAGAAACACTATCTGGTTCATAGAGGTCCTGAAGACAGGGTAGGGGCAGGAGACTAGTCTCAGAGCGAAGACAGAGGGTTTCCCAAGTGATGAACCTGTAATGTGTGAAGGTGCTGGCCCTCTAGTTGATACACTGCCCTTGCTTTGGTGATTGGGAGAAACCCCCCTGACATGTGTTGTCTTTTTCCCACCAAGGGTATCACTGGGATACATCGGACTGGATGCCAACCATTCCTCTACCAGACATACAGGAGTTTCCCAACTATGAGGTGATTGATGAACAAACACCGCTGTACTCAGCAGACCCCCACGCCATTGACACAGACTATTACCCTGGGGGCTACGACATCGAGAGCGATTTTCCACCACCACCAGAGGACTTCCCCGCACCTGACGAACTACCACCATTCCCTCCAGAATTCAGCGATCAGTTTGAGTCCAGACACCCTCCGAGAGACATGCCCGCCGCGGGCAGTTTGGGCTCTTCCACGAGGAACCGGCAGAGGTTCCACTTGAATCAGTACCTGCCCAACTTCTACCCCGTCGATATGTCTGAACCTCAGAAAACAGGCGCTGGTGAGAATAGTACTTGTAGAGACCCGTACACTCCTCACGGTCCAGGGTATCAACGGAACTTTGAAGCCCCCACCGTGGAAAACCTGCCCATGTCCGTGTACGCGTCCACAGCCTCCTGCTCGGATGTGTCGGCGTGCTGCGAAGTGGAGTCCGAGGTCATGATGAGTGACTATGAGAGTGGAGACGATGGCCACTTTGAGGAGGTGACGATCCCGCCACTAGACCCCCAGCAGCATACTCAAGTCTGACACTCCCACTCCCCCCAAAGTGCCTGGACTCGGCGAGCCTGGAGCCGATTGACGTCTCTCCCGCATTGTTCTCGGCAGCAGTGC